TTCGGATCCCAGGCGCGCACCATCGCACCGCTTGTCCGGCCATGCTGTGGCGGCGTCCCACATACAGCAACTAGAAGGATGTGCAACTATGACAAACAACTATCTACTGGGGCTTTGGGGAGAAAAAGGGAAAAAAAAAAGCAGGAGGATTGGCAATAGATATTAGCTCAGCAAAAAGAGGAGGATCTGCATGGATGTTAGCTCAGGGCTGATCTTCCCCACAAAAAAAAATACAATTGTGTACCATTTTCCATCTACCAGATTGGCAAAGATAAAAAATTTGATAGCATATTATATGGAAACAGGCACTCCCATATGAAAGGGCTGAGGGGAGGATTGGTACATCCTCTATGGAGGGCAATTTGGCCACGCCCACCAAAATTTTAAATGCACATACTCTTTGAATCAGCTTATATAAATGCTTATACTTACAGAAAATATCTCTGGGAGAATAAACAAGAAGTTGGTAATACTGGTTGCCTCTGGGGAAGGGAACTAGGTAGCTGGGACATAGAGTAGGAGGGAGACTTATTTTTCACCATATGTGATTTTATGTCTTTTCAGTTTCACCATGGGCTTGTATTATCTGTTCAAAAAATAATTGTTTAAAGAATAAAATTGTATTCATCATCAAATATCTATTGATGTGTCAGGCATCTTTCTGAACACTAGGACACAACAGTAAACAAGACAAGGTCCCTGCCCTGATCGTGTTTACTTTAATTTACCCCCCAATTCTCAACCTTTCCTCTTGATCCTCTTATTTTTACATATTCATATTGATAAAGTTTTTCCTGCCAAAATTACCAAATTTCTCCTGATGTTCTTGGTTCTCATCCCTTTCATGTTAATAGATAATGAAGTTCTAAATATTCTTTTCCATTATTTCTCTTCAAATGTTTTGAATTTCCATAAAACCATAACTAAGTGCATTCTAATTTTAAATCCCATCAGAAAAGGCGACCACAGATGGTGGTAATGATGGTGGTGGGCATTTCGGGGCAGGAGGCTTATCTCTAAAAAAGAGTAAAGGTAATTTCCTTTGAAATTAAACTAATGCTGGCTACTATATTGTTCTCCTTTTATTTGACAAAGATTTGTATATCCTATTATTTCAAATACCCAGTGAAAGCTGAACATTTGAATAGGTCTTATCTTCTTATAGAAAGTTATAAATACCCTTTATAGAAATGAGGGAGACAGAAAAGTCTAAAGAAGAAGGGCATCTATCCCACTACTGGGTATTTATCCAAAGAACATGAAATCAACAATACGAAAAGATCTCTGCACCCCTATGTTCATTGCAGCATTATTCACAACAGCCAAGATGTGGAAGCAACCCAAGTGCCCATCAACTGATGAGTGAATAGAGAAGATGTGGTGTATATATACAATGGAATACTACTCGGCTATAAAAAGAGACAAAATCATCTCATCTGCAACAACATGGATGGACCTTGAGGGTATTCTGTTAAGCAAAATAAGCCCGACACAGAAAGACAAAACACCGTATGATTTCACTCATATGTGGAAGACAAACAAACACATGGATAAAGAGAACAGATGAGTCGTTACCAGAGGGGAAAGGGGTGGGGAGGTGGGCCAAAGGGGTAAAGGGGCACATATGTATGGTGATGGAGAAAAACTAGACTATTGGTGGTTGAGCACAATGTTGTCTATACAGAAACTGATATGTAATAACATACACCTGAAATTACACAATGTTGTAAACCAATATGACCTTAATAAAATAGAGAAAGAAGAAAAGAAGGGCATCATCCCTAACCCTTCTGAAGGAGTTCAGGAATTGGGAGTGAAGCAAGGTTCAGATATCACCAGGAAACCCAGCTTCATGGGGTGGCATTCTCTCGGCGATTCACCACCAGCCAGCATCCGGTCCTTAGCCTGTGAGCACAGACACCTGAACTTTTCAGCACACACTGTGAAGCCTTCTCTTAAGATAGACTCATATTGGCCAAGTTGAAAATTAAGCCCCTGAAAATGCTTCATTTATTATTGACTACCAGGCCTCCAGCGTCAGACCCCCACCCCCCGATGGCCTCATTTCGTGACACTTTTACCCCGTGCATTCTTTGCTCCCGCCCTTTGGTCCCCTGCCCCTTCCCCCAGCACCACAGGGTCTTGAGCATCACACCTTTGCACATGCAGCTCCCTCAGCCGGGCAGGCCTGTGCGGCCCTCCCCACCTCTAGGGTCCAGCCAGGACACGACCCCCTCCCGGGGCTTTCTCCAGGCTCCTGGACAGAAGGACTCACTCTCACGAGCATCGATGTTGTTTTCTACCTGGTAGCCTACTTTATGTGCACGCTTGGCTCTCCACTCTCCAGAAGCTCTTGGGGACAGGGACTGCTTCCAGTTTCTCTCTTGCTTTCTCCTCAGCCTCCTGTGCCTTGTCGGTGCCCTGCCGGCCCCCCACACTCCCTCCCGACGTTGGTTGATGGGCTGTGTTCGTGTTTTTCAGATGCATACCCAAACCACAAGTCTGCCTGACGACTGTTGATAAATTTGGATGTAGCCAACATGAGTGTTTGCCCAGACAGCTCACCTGTGACCAGGCCCGCGATCCTGTGTGTGACACAAACCACCTGGAGCACAGCAACCTCTGCACTTTGTACCAGAGAGGGAAAAGCCTCTTGTACAAAGGCCCGTGCCAGGTACAGTTGTTTGGCTGACAGACCCACGTCCTCTGAGCATGAAATCGGTTTGTGGGCTTTTACACATGACCCAGCAGTCAGACCGTTTGCGGGGCTTGTGAATCCTGTCCTGTCTAGAAAACTCCGTCCCCACTCCCAGGGAGCCATCCCAAGACTGGCTTTTCCTCCACTCTGGAGGACTCCCTGGTTTCACACCCCTGGCACGAGTCAGCACCGTTTTCTCTTCCCATAGTTCTGTGGGCCCTCATTGCAAAAGAAATCGGGAAGAATGCGAGTTGAAACAACCAGGAGAAGAGTTTTTTCCCACGATTCCCACCGAAGTCCCTCCCTCAGTACTGAAAAGTGGTCAAAAATTTCTCCAAGACTTAATGTCTTTTTACGTGAGTTTATCCTTCAGTCTTTTAAGGTTGCAAAATCCGTATTCGTGTTAAAAATACCCGCAAGGACAGCACCCCTGAGGCTTCCCGCGCACCACTGATCCGTGTGCGGGCCCCGCCCCTTTCTGGGATCCCGTCTTTGGGCCCAGCGTCCCCGCCACAACCGGCTGACACCTGACACGACTGCTTCTCCGTCCCTGGTCTTTGTGGCCAGAAAACCCCTTCGGCTTGTCTCCCTAGGCTGTTTCCTCTCAGGACTTGTGTTCCGGTTGCTTCCATACCTGCTACTCTGAATCCCAGTCTCCTCTTCCCACTTGTTCCGTCTTCCTGGCTACAGTTTTTCTCTTACATATTCTTACCCTGCCCGACGGATCCAGAGTCTGTCTGCCCCACTGACCCTGTCCTTATCCCCTACCCAGCGAGAAACGATAAAGCCTCCGTATTTGCAGGAAGGTGGATCTTGTTTTCTTCAAACAGGCGTTTCCAGAACAATGGAAGTCTGGAGGGAGGCATTGTATCTCGTATCAGTTCACGTGGAATGAGCACCCGAGACCCAAAGAGGCTGAGAAAAGTAATCTCTTCAGTTCATCTTGGGACGGTCCTATTGCGCCCCCGCCATGTTCAGCCCACCTCAGGAGCTGCATTAAGAGGGGCCCCAGAATTTATGTCTGTGTCCTTTTTCCTCCCTGGAAATAGGGAGAGCTCTACCGTGTGCTGTTGGTTAGGAAAAGTGCGTCCTGGAGGTTTCCAGGCTGAATGTGATTTGTTTGCCCTCAGCCCTTCTGCAGAGCCGCAGAGCCCGTCTGCGGGCACAATGGGGAGACCTACAGCAGCGTGTGTGCCGCCTACTCGGACCGGGTGGCGGTCGATTACCTCGGGCCCTGCCAGGCCGTCGGGGTCCTCTCAGTGTCCAGTTCTGTCTCCGAATGTGCTGCGGTGAAGTGTCCCTCTCTCTCAGCGACTGAGTGCAAACCCGTCATCCCACCCGGTAAGCTGGCAGTCTTGTGGGGGGGGTGGCTTGGGAAGACTTGCTTCTCCGCCTCCAGAGCGTGAGTCTCTGCGGGGAAGAGAGTTGACTAGTTTATGTACATTTCTCAAGAAGTCTTAACTCGACCTGACGCTGATTAGATGTGTTATTCCGGGTCAACCTTACAAAGCTGTGCATGACCTTGGCCATCATCTGGTCCCGCCGTTTTAAAACAATATAGCGAATTTTTTTCAGGCAAAATCTTACACCAAACACCAATATATAAACAAATAAAGCAGTATTTAATTACTAAAATTATGATTATTAGCTCAAATGCATGATGTTTACTTATTGTAAAGTTAATGAGGGGCTGCCCGGTGGCGCAAGCGGTTAGGTGCGCGTACTCCACTGCGGTGGCCCCATCTGTGAATCCATCAAAAGTTCACTGAGTTTCCACTATGTGCCAGACACTCTTCCGGGCACTGGGGACACAGCAGTGAGCAAAACAAAGCCTCCTTCCCCTGGAGACTATGTTCTGCTACTTGCTTATCATTTTTTAACAGTGTAAAATAATTCTTAAAATTAAGTTAGAATCAAACGCTCATGGAATCCCTGCTTTTGCAGACAGGAAATCTAGGGGCCAGGAAAGCACCTGCCCAGCATGGAACAGCAAGTTTTGAGGGAGGGCAGGGTCTCAGCCTCACATCTCCTGAAAGGCCAGCTCTCTCTGTGCTGCCTTCCAGCACAGCTGCCTCACCCTGAGAAGTGGTGAAGGGGGAGAGCAGGGCTGGAGGAAGGGTTCTGGTACACGAGTCGATTCTGAAACCCGTTGGCCGGGGAACACGTCTAAAAGCGCATCATCAGGAAGGGCAGCTGTAACTCTCCGAGCACAAAAGGAAGGGCTGGGAGTTTCACCAACTCGGCTGAATTCTCCGTGTTTCTAGTTCTGAACACACATAAAATGGTTTCTGTTATACAGGTGCTTGTTGCCCATTATGTGCCGGGATGCTAAGAGTTTTATTTGACAAAGAAAAGCTGGATACTATTGCTAAGGTAAATTGCTTTCTATGCCAGGTCCTCTTGAAACCGTATTGATAAACCTCTCAGTAATCCTACAGAGTAGAAGATGTTTTCTCATTTTTAGAGGAAGAAACCTGTTTGCAGAGAAGCAACATGCCCAAGGCTGTCGGCTCAGAACCAGTACTGCTAGGGTTTGACCCCAGGCTGTCTGCTCCCCATCCCGTGCTCCTCTCCTCTGCAGCCTGGCTGTGTGGTGACCTTGCTCTGCACATCCCACCCTGAGCCTTTCTTAGGAAAGGTCCCCTCCTGGCCCAGTCAGCAGAGTCGGAGCTGGAGGCAGAACCAGGCAGCCAGAGACTGGGAGATGCCCGCTGGTTTCCAGGTGGCCTGCCCACCCAAGCCCCACTCCGCCCAGTGCATCCAGAGCCGGCCGCCTCCCCACCAGGCTCTGCCCCCTTTCCCTTTGCCGCTGCTTGTGCTGCTCGCTGTTGTGGAGACAGGGCTCCAGACAACAGCTGCCACAACCTAGAGAACTGTCCCCTTTTGGATTTAAACACCTGTGTTTTTACAGGAGGACTTTATTTCCCTGCGGCCTCCATCTCAGAACAGTCACGTTATTTAAAAAAAAAAAAAAGAAACACTTCTGGTGAGAGCATTTATCCAGGCTACAAAGCCCCACAGTCAGGCCAAAGCCCATTGGAACAGACTCTGGCATTCAGCTGGCTGGGCCCTATGGGGCCTGCACTTAGGAGTTCCTTGGTTAAAAGAGCCTCCTTGGGGGGCTGGCCCCATGGCGTAGTGGTTAAGTCTGGCGCACTGCACTTTGGCAGCCCAGGTTCACCGGTTCAGATCCCGGGCATGGAGTTAGACCACTCGTCAGCCATGCTGTGCGAAATAGAGGAAGATAGGCACAGATGTTAGCTCAGGGCTAATTTTCCTCGAGCAAAAATAGAGGAAGATTGGCAACAGATGTCAGCTCAGGGCGAATCTTCCTCAAGCAAAAATAGAGGAAGATTGGCAACAGATGTCAGCTCAGGGCGACTCTTCCTCACCAAAAAAAAATAGCCTCCTTGCCTTAGGCAAGGGAGCAGGGCAGCTTTGGCAGTAATAAGGAATTCTTCTTTTTCTCAGGTAATAGAACCTTTTTCTCTTTCTAGGTAACAAACAAAAAGCCGATAACAGTTCTGGAAATACTTCAGAAAATCCGCATGCATGTGTCTGTCCCACAGTGTGACGTATTTGGATACTTCAGCATTGAGTCAGAAATTGTGATCCTGATTATTCCCGTTGATCATTATCCAAAAGCTTTGCAGGTGGGGTTCAGCACGTGTTGTGCAGCCATCTTGTCATTGTCAAGTTTGGTGGACTTGGGAGGGGGTGGGCACAGACCAGGACTGGGGGAGGACCAGGTGGTGAGGACATGGAGGCCCTTTGGCGGGAGAGATGCAAGGCAGGCTCTGAAGGACAGACCTACACCAGGGGAGCATTTTCCAGGTGGCTGAGGGCTGGTACCCTTTTGACAGCAGGATTCAAAGGAGCAGGAGAGGGGAGAGGTTGAGATACTGTGACTTAGAATGTGCAGAGACAGAAGGACCTGCTCATCGTACAGACGAGGGGTCTGAGCCCAGGGAGGGGAGGCACTGGCACAGGTCATGCAGTGACAGAGCCAGAATAGACTCCAGTCTCCAGAGAGCTGTGCTCCCACTGGGGAGGGGGAGCCCGCCAGAGCTGGTCTGGTGGGCCCCGAGTTTTCTTCCTCACAACCTGGAGGCGCATGGAGCCTCACACATATAGGCCCAAGTTTCAGCATCGAAATGGTGAGGGCTGAGAGGAGGGGGTAGAGATAAGCCGGGTGTAAACTGCACAATGAGAAGGCTCATTAAGTCTGAGTGCTTTCACCCTCAGGTTTAAATAGGCATTGAAGTCCATTCCCATGACTGTTTAACCATGGAAAGACAACGTCTCAATGTGGACGAGTGGAGAACAGGATGGTGGAACCAGGAAAGGGCAGTGGCACTGTGGATCATTTCTTTTCTGATTTGATTTTCATTGATGCTGTTATTATTTGTGTAATAAATGAAGACTATAGTAAAATGTGACTTTAGCCAAGAAAAGGACAGAGAGAGCATACTCCCTATGTCGGGATCTATGTGGAATTTGTCTGACTTGACCTTTTCACGGGTTCCGTGGTTTTATATTAAAAGAATCGGATTTTCCTCTTCCAGATTGAGGCCTGCAATAGAGAAGCAGAGAAGATCGAGTCCCTTATCAACTCCGACAGCCCTGCTCTGGCATCCCACGTCCCTCTCTCAGCACTCATCATTTCCCAGGTACAGGTCTCCAGCAGCGTGCCGTCGGCTGGCATCGGGGCCAGACCCCCCTGCCACTTCTGCCTCTTCCTCCTCAGCCTGGGCCTCGCCTTGCGCTTGCTCTGGACACATAACTGACTGCCCATGAAAAGCGCAGAGTGTTCCTCCATCTAATTCTTCTGCCTTGTGAAAACCATACAGGACTGCTGGTCTGTAGTTGAATAGTGGCCAGGTAAACGCACTTGTCACCTCTCTTCACCACACAGTATTTTTTTAATCTGCCAATATTAGTAGGGTTTTTGTTTTGTTTTTACAAATGTTAAAATACATTCTTCCAAATACTAATGAAAAGAGGATGTCTCCTTCTGCTGGATCACTGCCTTACAATTTACATTTTGCTTGTTTGGTGGGACCCCTACTCTAAACCAAATTCAAAATCACTGATAAATGAGATGATCCCTTTTTAGAAAGATAACTCACTTTACTATGGGCTTCGTATCACAGAAACTTCATTTCAGAATTCCTGTAAGTATTGAGGTGCCCCAGTGTATACATTTTTCTTTACAGATAATTACATACTCTGTCTCGAAGCTAGGGGCCACAGGGAAGAGCCACTGCTGTTAGAGTATGAAGTAAAGATAAAGCATCTTTGAAATTATCATGTAAATCACCAGGCAAATTTAATTTACAGAAACTTAATTCAGGAACCCATCTGTTGTGTTAAGCAAAAGCAAGCTGATTAAATGACACATAATGATAGATGGTGACAGTCTCAGTGGTTACTAATGTGGCTACTGTGACTTTCGTGAAAGTTACATCACATCAAAGTGTCTTGCATTATGCATTTTTATATTAACTAGATGTATATTCTTTGGTATTCATCCAAGCTAAATTTAGAGTTTTTAAACATCAATCTTTAAATCAATTGCTGCTACTTATATTTTTGCCAAAAAGTGAAATAATGAGTAGTTCATGTACATAATACATGATTTATCTATTTTATTATGAAGAAGGTGAATAGCCATATTTGTAAAATGACAATCGTGTGTGTTAACCCAGTACTTTGCGTTCATGAAGACACATTTGCTTTTTGTGATATGCACAGTATAGATGAGTCTTCTCTCTCTTTTTTGATATAGAATTATAAAGAATTGTGGTTTATATATTTACAAATGTCAATCTAAGTATGAACATGTTTGCATGTTGTCTAAGAAATTGAATTCTTCGAATGTGTTTCACAGTTTGAAATAAGCTATTCAATGTAATACTTCTTGTTTGTATGCACCTAAACTTAGATTTTACATGAAGTATTTTTTCCAGTATTGTATGTAGCCTCTGGAATATATAGGGATATGCTTATTTTACCAAAATGTTGTGTAAAAGTGGGCACTTAAAGTTTTCAGAATATCTCAGTGCTGACGGAGCGTTGTTTGCTGCAGTGGCTTTTTCTATATAAATGTCTTCACTGCAAGATACTGGAAAGCTTTTCCATTTTAATAAAGATAACTTTTATATGATTATGTGTACTTCCAACAATGTGGACATTTAAAATGAAACCACTGGTCACTCCTGGG